GAGTCTGGGTAGCTTCCTAGGGCAGGACTGGGAAGAGGAGAGAAAGAAACGTGGAGGAGGTTAACAGGCAAAGTCTGATGATCCACTGGATGTAAGGGGAAATAACAGGAGTGAGTTAAATGACCCGTTGAAGCAGAATGTATAGGATTTAAAGCATTAGGCCAGTGCATGCAAAATACTTGAAGTGATATTCAAACACGCATGCTGTGCCATCCATGTCCTGCTGCCCGGGACTTCTAGATGATCTTGCTCCAATCTTGTCTCACATTTCTTTTTTCTTTCTAGTAGTTTTTTTAAATTATCATTTACTTTATTGTTATTATAAAAGTTAGGTAAAGAGGATTACAATTACATGAGTCAGGTAATGAGTACATTTCCTTTCATACGGTGTCTTCCCTTGTAGCTCACATTTCTATCCGATTTATTTGCTTTATTGTTTTGCTTTCCAAGTCCCCTGAAATCCTTGGCCTCTGCCTGTCCATTTTTGCAAAGGAAAGCAATCCTGTTGGGGGTGAAGTTGGCTGATCCCAGTTTCTGATCCTAGTTTCTTCGAAAGACTGATATAGAGCCAGACAGAGGAGGTTCACTCCTATAATCCTAGCTACAAAAGAGACTGAGATCTGAGGATCACAGTTTGAAGACAGCCCAGGCAGCAAAGTCCATGAGACTCATCGCAAGTAAATCACCAAAAAGCCAGATGTGGAGTCATGGCTCAAGTGGTGGAGAACCATCTTTGAGTGAAAAAACTAAGGGACAACACACAAGCCCTGAGTTCAATCCCCAGTATCAGCACACACACAAACACACACAAGTACACACACATACACACACAGAGTACACATATACACACAGACAGATGATCTTCAAGAAGACATGGGGATAGGACCCGTTGGAGGTAAAGGAGACCTATTTGAGAAGTTTCTGTCATCTTATTACTAAGCAGTACACAGTGGAAGAGAAACAAACTTGCTTGGAGTCCTGGGTCCCTCATTTGCACCGTCATCACTATTGGGGTCCATCCTGCAGGCTCTGACTCCCTGGCAAAATGAGGATGTTTAGCTCTACATAGGCTAGCCACTAAAAGGGGCTTATTAGACTGGGAATCGCTGTCTTGTGTGACTCTCTGCTCCCCAATTTTTTTTTTATCATACTGGAGTTTGAACTTATGTTTGGCACATCCCCAGCCTTTTTTTTACTTTAGTTATTTTTCAGATGGGGTCTCACTTTTTGCTTTCCTATCTCAGCCTCCCTGAGTGGCTAGAATTACTGGTGTATGAGCCACTAATGCCAGGCTCCAAATTTTATTTTTTTGTTTCTTTTCTTTTTTGTTTTTTGGGGTCCAGTCATGGGGCCTGAACTCTGGGCCTGGACGCTGTCCCTCAGCTCTTCAGCTCAAGGCTAGCGCTCTACCACTTGAGCCACAGTGCCACTTCTGGCTTTTTTCTTTTTGCTTATGTGGTGCTGAGGAATCGAACCCAGGGCCTCAGGCATGCAAGGCAAGCGCTCTACCACTGAGCCAGCTTCCCAGCCCCAAATTTTATTTTTTTGATACAGAGTTTTGACTTGAACTCCTAAGCTCCAGTGACCCTCCTACGTCAGTTTCCCAAGTAGTTGGGACTACAAGCACATACGAACGGGCCTGGTTTGACTCCCTCTCTCCATTTATTTATTTATTCATTCATTCATTCATTCAGTTTAAAGTCTGAAACTGGAACTTGAATTTGGTATCTGCCACTTTCACCATTGATTAACATTCTACCAACTGAGCCACACCTCCAGCCCTTGAATCCTCAATATATATATAGCCAGATAGTCAGTAATGGGTTTGAACTCAGGGCCTGAGTGCTGTCCCTGAGCTCTTTTCCTCAAGGCCAGTGCTTTACCACTCTGAGCCACAGTGCCACTTCCAAATTCTCAATATTTAAAGAAGAAACTAAAGCCAGAAAGAGAAGACACTCAGCTGTTTGGGAGATGTAAGGTTTGGGGTCCACCTTGAGGAATCTGAGTAGATTTGATTTGGGGGTGTATTGCTGTGGGGGACTAGGGAATCTTAGAAACTTTCCTGGTAATTTGGAATTGTTACAAGAAGTAGAAAAATTACATTAAAGATTTTTTTTATCCTAAACAGAGCTCAACATATACAAAAACATTTTGGTAAAGACACAAGTTGACTTTGCCAGGAGCAATAGATTACACAGACTGCCGAACATCTACAACTGGTAAACAAATGTCTGGAACACCCTACCACCCATGAGCTACATACCTACCTCCCCGGGAGATGTTGTAGTTGACTGGAATTCCCCAAGGCTAGTCCAAGGCTCTGTGAAGTCAAGATTGGGATATGCCTATAGAGCTGGTAGGGTGCTAGGTGAGAGACAATGTGTTGTGGGAAGGGAATCTCTGATATCTCCAGGGTTTTGTAGGCCTCTTAGCTTCTCCCCTCTGCCCCTAGTTATTTCTGGGACATTGGGTCAGGATTCTGGAACATGGGGGGAGAGGGAAGTGTCGGTGAGGGTGCGGGGGGGGGGGGGGGGTGGGGAAGGTAGAAGAGAGGAAGGAGGACTCTGTCCTCCTATGCTTAAGTACATAGAGTGGGGCAGGGGGGTAGAAGGGCACCCTCAGCCTGATTTCTCAGGCTCAAAATGGCAACTCAGTGGGGAGAATGTTATTTCAGAGTGTGTATGTTAGAGGGTCCCCTAGCCCTGCAGGAGGCCCCACATTCCTGCTTCAATGGCCTGCATTTTTACATTTGAGCTCAGGACACTGTGTTGGCCAGACTCAACAGAGAGGCCCAGGAGGTGGCTGGGCTTGGCCCAGGTCTATGTTGGATTAGTTCTAAGTCATCTTTCTCTAGGGCCAGAGCCAACCTGTGACCGCAGGAATTGAGATGCCCACTGGCCTTGTTCAGCCCTTGAAGGACATTGGTTTCTCGCCATCACAACTTCCTTGTTTCTGTACCCCAGAGGCCAATAGAGATGAGGGATGCCTGCCAATCCAAGACAGGCTGGGCTGTGCCTTGGGAAAGAATGAGGTGCATGTGTTTACCTTCCACCACTCAGAGAGGGGCTCATGCTCTCACAACCCCCCCAGCCTGCCTGCAATACCACCCTTGTCATATAATGACCCTTTCTGAAGGGACAGTGCTTTATCTGATTCTGGAGAGCTGGTGAATCATGGAGCAGATTATGCAACCTTTGCCCATCCCTTGCAGGAAATTTTGTGACCCTAATCTGTGTGTGTGTGTGTGTGTGTGTGTGTGTGTGTGTGTGTGTGTGTGTGTGTGTGTGTGTGTGTGTGCGCTGATATTAAGGCTTGAACTCTGGGCCTGGGCATTGTCCCTGTGCTTTTTTGTTCAAGGCTAGTGCTTTACCACTGAGCTACATCTCCACTTCGAAGTGTGAGCCACCAGTGCCTGGCTGTGACCCTATTTCTGTGTCAGACTCTTTAAACAGGAAAGATACAATCTGGTGAGGAGACTCATCCTGAGGAATGGTGACTCTGGAAATTAAGCCACAGAACCACTCTACACCCCAGCATCATTCTATCCCTGCTATCTTATGTAATCCTGGGTGGGGTCCCTCTCAACTCATACCTGGCTTATTTTCCTATGCTTTAGCAGGTCCCTCCTACCTTTCTGTGAGTTATCTGCCTGTCACCTAGAATCTCTCCTTCCCTCGCAAGTCCTGACTCTGACTTTTTTCCAAGTCTTGGCCCTCAAATGCAGTAGCCTCTCCCATTCCTACATCTCATCCTTTTCAATGCTTAGGACTCTGCCCAGGTCTTTCTTTCCTCAGTTGCTGTGAATTCACCACTGGGCTGGACCCCAGTCTTAGTGATGTTCAGACCAAAACCAGCCACCTTCTGTCTTCTTGTCCCACAAATGCCAAAGTTTCATGCCTCCTGATTTCTCTTACCACCTGTGGGTCTTTCTGCCTCTCATTGGCTGTATCTTTGAGTCACTTTTGACTGTTAGCCTTTCTTCCTTCTGCAAATCCAATTAGTCACAGCTTCAATAATCCCTTCCTCCCAGGTTTCCACCTCCCTCCAGGCTTCTTAGCTGGCTCATTAGACCACCTAAAATGTGCCTGGTCCCCAAGATGGAAGGAAGATGCTCTGCTTGGGCCTTTCCGCTGCCTGGGAAAGCTGGTGTACTTTTAGCTGTCTCCCTATTGGCCTGGTCACCAGGAGCTGGGGTATGGGGAAAATGTTGGACTAGTTAGGAGTAGACTAGTCCTTGCTGGTATCCTAAGTCTCACTCCCAAAGGATCCAGGTCCTGATTACCTCAAGTCTTTCTATTTTCTGGAAGTTGGGACTCTCATTTCCAGAGTTCCACATAGTAGGCTACTGCTGTCTCTGACATCAACACCCAGTCTGGGAAATCCTGTGTTTTCATCACCTCTCCTAATGGAGAGACTTACTTCAAATCTCCAAAGAGCTGATAATCTGGGCTATCTTTCTCTTGGAGCATGGAGGGTACAGTCTGATTTTTATTTGTTTTTGCATTAATGGATTCATCTTAATTTTCCTCTCATAATAGAAATCAGTTTAAGTGCCTACACTGATGACAAATGCTTTTGATTTCTAGGCAGGAGATGAGATTGGGGTGGGGTTTTTTCCCCCCGGGAAGGCTGTGTGGACTGACTCCTCTTCTCATTCATCCTCTCTTGCCACTTGGGTGAATGACCCTTTTGCATTCATGTTGCCATGAGCTTTCCCAGCTTGGGTCCCTTCACCCATCAGGGAAAATGGTGAGAAAGAGACTGTCTCCAGGACTGTCCGAGGTGGCAAGGCTTCAGGTTGGACTTGAATTTCTTGTATCTGAGCTAATTGGTGTGGTGATGCATCTACCTATAAAATTATAGAGTGGCTCACCCATGGCCTTGCATCTGTTGCAAGGACTAGAAACTCTCCTTCCTCCTGCGTTCCAGCGCACTGTCAGCTAGCTCCTAAGGACCAGCCTCTCTGGCTGTCTCTTGAACCATCAGCTCCCCACTGATCCATGGCGGCACTCACAGACTTCTCTTTTATGTATCGTTGGTTCAAGAACTGTAATCTGGTTCGCAATCTGTCAGAGAAGTATGTCTTCATCACTGGCTGTGACTCGGGCTTTGGGAACCTGCTGGCTAAACAGCTGGTTGATCGGGGCATGCGAGTGCTGGCAGCTTGTTTAACTGAGGAGGGAGCTCAGAAACTTCAGCAGGATACTTCCTACCAGCTACAGACCATCATCCTGGACGTCACCAACACCGAGAACGTCAAGGCAGTGGCCCAGTGGGTGAGGGACCAAGTGGGCGAACAAGGTGGGGTGACTTTTTCTATTTAATCTTTCTCTCTCTTTCTGTCTCTCTCTGTCTCTCTCTCTCTCTCAGCATCTGACAACACCAGGGGCACTGATGTCTAAATGAAGTGGTAGCAGAGGCGATGTAGGAAACAGTCTCGGAGGCTGGGGCAGTGGGGTTAGAAACCACTGCATGGCTTGGCATTTTCCCATGCTGAAGCAATTACCAGAGGAAGGTATCTCTTCCAGACATTCAGAGGGACAGAGCAGAAGTCTCAGTAGGAGTTGAGGCTGGGAAGATAGGTTCTGGAAGTCCAAACCTTTGAAGATGAAGGTGTTCCTCGGAGGCTTAAGCCCTACTATCAAACTGGGTGGGGTGGCTTGAACCTATAAAATGAGCTCCTCAAGATGCTGAGATCAGAAAGATCACAGTTTGAGGCCAGATGGGGCAAAACGTTCATGAGGCCCCAAGCTGGGTATGGTAATGCATCCCTGTATCCCAGCTACAACAGGAAGCATAAATTGGAAGATAATGGTCAAGGCTGGCCTAGGTATAACTGTGAGATTCTTTTGAAAATAAATAAATAAAGCAGAAAGGATTGGGAATGTGGTTCAAGTGGTAGAGAGTCCACCTTGTAAATATATGCCCTGAGTTTAAACCCCAGTATTTAGAAAGAAATAGTACTATCATCAGCACTAAAGAAGTGCAAATACATTTCTTTTTCTTTCTTTCTTTCTTTCTTTTTCTTTCTTTCTTTCTTTCTTTCTTTCTTTCTTTCTTTCTTTCTTTCTCTTTCTTTCTTTCTTTCTTTCTTTCTTTCTTTCTTTCTTTCTTTCTTTCTTTCTTTCTTTCTTTCTTTCTTTTTGCTGGTTATGGGGCTTGAACTCAAGGCCTGGGCACTGTCTCTGAGCCTCTCTGTACTCAAAGCTAGCACTCTACCACATGAACCACAGCACCACTTCTGGCTTTTTCTCAGTAATTTATTAGAGATACGTCTCATGAACTTTCCTGCCAGGGCTGGTTTTGAACTGCAACCCTCAGATCTCAGCCTCCTGAGTAGCTAGGATTACAGACCTGAGCCACCAGCACCTGGCACGAATATATTTCTTATAGGGATCAGGCTAGGGGCAGGGGCAAGGGAACAAAAGGCCGGATCCAAGTGTAGGAAAAAGGAGAGGCAGATCTCTTCCTTATGTCACAATGGATGCTGCCACCTCCATCCAAATGTCTGCTCCATTGGGAGCTGAGATCTGAGGATTGTAGTTCAAAGCCAGCCTGGGTAGGAAAGTCTGTGAGACACTTATCTCCAATTAACCACCAGAAAACCAGAAATGGAGCTGTGGCTCAAAGTGGTAGAGTGCTAGCCTTGAGCAAAAGTACTCAGGGACAGTGTCCAGGCCCTGAGTTCAAACCCCATGACTAACCAAAAAGGAGGAGGAGGAGGAGGAGGAGGAGGAGCAGGAACAGGAGCAGGAGCAGGAGCAGGAGCAGGAGGAGGAGGTGTGTGGGGGGGGGGGGAATAACCTATGGGCTAGGGCCAGACCAAGATTGTGTGAAGACCAGAAGACTTCTAGCATACAAGGTATGGACAAAGGATAGCAAGGAATGTAATAAGAAGGAACAGGATAGGTCTGCTACAGAAGCAGCAGCTGGTGGGGAAGGCTTCACTTCTAAAGGAATAAGGCTGAGTAGGGGAAAGAGCCCTGGGATCCAGAAGGAAACCAACAGGAGCTCTTTGCCTTTTTTTCTTCCTTAGCACTTATCTTTTACCAGTCTGTAATGTATTAAATCTATTTCAAAAAATTCATTATCTGTTTTCTCTACTGGAATAAAAGTTCCACCTAGGAATCTCAATACATAGTTGTTGAATGAACTAATTAAGGAATAATTCAGCCAGGGTGAGCCCCTCTTCTTTCCACTATGCTGTCCTAGCCTGCTCCCTCCTCTTAGGTCTGGGCCATTCTTGGTGGCCTTGAGCTAGTAGGTAATGATCCCTTGAGTTTTTCTGGAGATACTGCTGATTCCTGTGTGGTTCTTTCTCTGTGTGTGTGTGTCTCTCTCCATCTCACCCCCAGGCCTCTGGGCCCTAGTGAATAATGCTGGTTTGGGCCTGCCCAGTGGTCCCAACGAATGGCTGACCAAAGAAGACTTCGTAAAGGTGATCAATGTGAATCTGGTGGGACTCATCGATGTCACCCTTCACCTGCTGCCTCTCATCAAGAAAGCCCGGGGCAGAGTGGTCAATATGTCCAGCTCTGGTGGTCGTGTAGCTCTCATTGGTGGTGGCTACTGTGTCTCCAAGTTTGGTGTCGAGGCCTTCTCTGACAGCATCAGGTGATTGGGCCCTGGTATCACACTGCCTAGGTGGTGACCTTGAGGGAAGGGGTTGGGGGCCAACCCAAGAAAAGAGAGCTGAGGGAGGCATCATGTGAGTACAGCAGCTATGGAGAGGAAAATTAAAAGAATAAAAGAAGGAAGACAGACTTCAGTAAGCTTTCCCCAAGGATCAAGACCTGAAGGGATGAGAAGGCTGGATGGATGGCCCTCTCTTGAGCAGGCATAGAATGAGGGAAACTGCCTTACTCCCCCAGGAATAAGAGAGACACATTCCCCAAACAGACACTGTGGTCTGGGGGCAGAGGTGCCAGGGATGGATGGAGTCCAGTGGGAAGGAAGCTGTGGAGTCAAGACCTTGGTGTAGATTGGCACTGATTGTCTTTTTGCTGAGTCTGCCTAATGCAGATTGCACAAAGTACTGGATTTCCAAAGAGTCTGAGGCCCAAAGGCAGACATGTTTACATGCAACAGCTGTCAGAGCTGTCAAACTCCTAGAGAGGGAGGTCCCTCCCAAGGTGACTCTCCCTGGTAACTGTCATATTGAATGCCTGGACTGATTGCATTTCCCAGACGTGAGCTCCATTTCTTTGGGGTGAAGGTGAGCATCATTGAGCCAGGGAACTATCGGACGTCCATCCTGGGGACGGAGGGCATGGAATCACGCATGCAGAAGCTCTGGGATCGGCTGCCTCAGGAGACCCGGGACAGCTATGGAGAGGAGTATTTCCATGCCTGTGAGTCCCGGGATGGGAGCAGGGTTTACCAGAGGGTCAGGATTTAGGAGGCTGAGGTCTGAGCATCATGGTTGAAAGCCAGCCTGGGCAGACAAACCCAACAGACATTTATTTCCAATTAACCACCTATAGGCTAAAAGTGAAGCTTTGGCTATAGTGCTTGGAGCACAAAAGCTAAGGGACAGAATGCAGGCTCTGAGTTCAAGAGCAGAGCCAGCTCAAAAAAAAAACAAAAAACCCTCGTGGCTTAAGCCTGTAATCCTAGCCACTCAAGAGGCTGAGATCTGAGGATCAAGGTCCAAAGCCAGCCTGGGCAGGAAAGTCCATGAGATTCTTACCACAAATAAACCACCAGAAAACCAGAAGTGGCGCTGTGGTTCAAGTGGTAGAGTGCTAGCCTTGAGCTGAAGAGCTGAGGGACAGTGCCCAGGCTCAGAGTTCAAGCCCTACAACCAAAAAACAAAAACAAACAAACAAACAAACAAGGGCAGGGGGCTGGGAAGGTGGCTCAGTGGTAGAGCCCTTGCCTTGAATGCATGAGGCCCTGGGTTCGATTCCGCAGCACCACATAAGCAAAAAGAAAAAAGCTGGAAGTGTGCTATGGCTCAAGTGGTAAAGTGCTAGCCTTGAGCTGAAGAGCTGAGGGACAGTGCCCAGGCCCAGAGTTCAGGCCCCACGACCAGACCCCCCAAAAAAAACAAGGGCAAGAAGATCTTGGGGTCACCATCTCCCTTTCAGCTTTCAGTTGACAGAGCAGAGACTCCTAGGATTTCAGTGCCTGAGGCCATACGGCAGTGAGTAGTGGAGGGCTGAGGTTTAAGACAATAGCTACTTGGGGGGTAGGAAGGTCTGCCAAGAATCTGCTTAGGCCAGGCCCCTGCTCCCAAACATCATGTGCCGGTGAGTCAGGTGAATAATACACATGATAGTAGTACAGAGAAGTGATTAAACTCATGGCTGCTGGAGCCAGGATGCCTGGGTTCAAGTCTTCACTCTGTGGCTTGTTTGCTTCCATTTTTTCATCTATTAATGGAGCTAATACGGGTGCCTGCTTTATAGGTTACTATGTGTGTGAAGCTTTTAGCACCGCACTCTTGTTAAATAACAAGGAAAGTAAACACATAGGAAGGTCCCCTGGCAGCTTGCTTCCTCTCCCTGAACTAATGCTGTCCTGTGAAAGTTGGGGCCATGGAGGCTGAAGGAGGGATGACTCAGCTGTTTATTGAGCATCTAGACTGTGCCGCACAGTTTGGGGATGACTGGAGTCCCTGCCCAATAGGGAATGTGAGAGGACATGGCCAGATGGGCATTGAGGAAGAATGGCCAGAGGTTGGATACATCCTCAGGAGAGCGGCCACAGTGAGGACCAAAAGACCTCACATTCCTTTGGAGCAGCTAATCTCAAAGCTGGGCTAGATGGTTTGAGGAAGAAAGAATGGATCCATCAGACTTGCTAGGTCTTTTCTTTTTACTTGTCAGTTGTAGGGCTTGAACTCAGGGACTAAGTGAGCATTGTCCTTGAGCTTTTTTGCTCAAGGCTAGCACGTTGAGCCACACTTTTACTTCTGTTTTTTGTTTTTTGGTTTTTTTGGGGGGAGGGGTGGTTAATTGGAATCTCATGGACTTTACTGCTCAGGCTGGCTTCGAACTGAGATTCTCAGATCTCAGCCTCCTGAGTAGTTAGGACTACAGGTGTGAGCCACCAGCAAGCACCCAGCCTCACTAGGTCTTTTTGAATCATAGTTTCTAGGGCTTGAGGAACCTCTAGAAGCCCCCTCTGTGGTGGCAGAAGCCAGCTCTGGCACAGTTAGCCAAAGTAACCTTGATAGGCATCTTTCTTCTCCAGTTGCCTATCTGGGAAGGAACATGGAACTCGTACTGTGCTTGTCTAAGAGTCTCCCTTCCTGAATAGCAAAACAGCTGCGCACCTAGCCTGTCCCTACCCCCTTTAGGCCTCAGTAGCCTAGAAGGAGTCTAGGCTGAATTTCCCTGAATTATTGAGTGGTCCAGAATATCCCTAATCCAGTTTTCTTTATCTATCTTCCTTGGCTGCATAAGCATGCCCAAGAAGCAAGTTTCAATCATGGGTAAGCTCAACTCTAGGCTGCCCATGTACAGCTTATCTACTAGCTTTGGGCAAGTTACACAACCTTTCTGTTTTCTCATCTGCAATTAGTTATGAGAAGGAAACATAGATCCCCTGAAGATCAATCGGAATTACGAGTTTGTGGCAGTGGTGCCAAGCAATCCTTTTTTGGGGTGACGTTAGGGTGTTATCTCTAGTTTCTTCAAAAGACTGATAGAGAGTTGGGCACAAATGGCTCGTGCTTATAATTCTAACAACTCAAGAGGCTGAGATCTGAGAATCAAGATTTGAAGCCTGCTCTGGCAAAAAATGTTTGTGAAATTCGTATCTCCAATTAACCGCTAAATAGCCAGAAGTACAGCTGAAGCCCAAGTGTAGAGTGCTATCTTTGAGCAAAGTTGCTCAGGGACAGCAGCACCCAGGCCTTGAGTCCAAGCCCCAGTATCAGTGCACATGCGTGTACCTGTGTGTGTGCACACGCGTGCACGCACACACACACATACACACATTTTGTCTGCCGATTCTTCTACCTCCTCCCTGGGAAAATTCTCTCCATCCTCTTGGCCCTCAGGAGTGCCAGAGCCCCGAGCACCCTGAGCCTGACCTTGCTGGTGGAAAACTAATTTCAGGTTCAAGGTCAAAGGCATCCTCAGACATTATCAATCACAAACAACTCTGGCTTTCAGCAAGTGTGACTGATTTGAGGACCCCAAAGTATATATAGCTTGGTGTTTTCAGTCTAGTGATTATTGTCTCCAAGAAGCAGCAAGATGATTCCTCAGAATGTGGGGGGTAAACATGTAAGTCCTCTGGCCTGTCCTCCCCAACCCCCTACAACGGTCTTGACCCTGAGGAGATGAGTTTACTTCCTTTCTGGACCACTCCAGTCAGGACAGCTTCTGCTCCTAGTTTTAATCCTTTGTCAGGGAAGTCTGCCTCTCAGAATCTCACTGAAATCTGAGTCTCCCCAATTTGTCCCAGAGTTCCAAGGTAGGTCCTGGTGAGGAGTTGTATGCCTGTGAGTCCTGGCAGGCTTGTACCACCAGTGTACTCTACCCTTGAAGGTCTCTACCTGGGAGCACAGTGTGAGCAGAAGACCCCTCATCCATTGGACCCCTGGGTGGGTTTACATTGTGATGTCCTTATGACCTAGGACTGGATGGAAAGGGGAAAACTCAAAAGAAATCATCTTTTATGAAGACTAACAGGCTCTCATTTCTCTCCCCAAATGTACTCGGAAACAGACACTGACAACTTAAAAACCTTTGCCCGTCAGTCAGAACCGAGAATCAGCGATGTCACCAACAGCATTGAGCACGCCATCGTTTCCCGGAGTCCCCGCATCCGCTACAACCCTGGCCTGGATGTCAAACTCCTCTACCTCCCACTAGCTAAACTGCCCACTTGTGTGACAGATTTCTTCCTCACCAGATACCTACCAAGGCCAGCGGACAGTATCTGAACCTGGGAGGCTCAAGGGGCGATCAACAGAGTGCAACATGGGGGTGGAAGGATTGTGGGGTCCCAAGAGGTAGAATCAGACACCCCAGGGGTATTGACTGTGAAGGACACTGTCCTTGGCTGACACTCACTGGGACAAATGACGCTTCCACCCACTGGGGCCCGCAGAAACCTGAGATGGCCTTTATAGCTTTAAAGACATGTGGCATAGTACCAGCTGTCACCCAAGCAGGGTGTAAGTTTTTTCTGGACCTAGAAAAATCAAGGAGGGCCAGAGGCTGGTAGATCATACCTGTAATCCTAGCAACTCAGGAAGCTGATATCTGAGGATTAGTGTTCAAATCCAGCCCAGGCAGAAAAGTCCCAGTGAAACTCTTATCTCCAGAAGTGGAGCTATGGCTTGAGCTCTAGCCTTAAGCAAAAGAGCTCAGGTCCAGAGTTCAAGCCCCATAACCACCCCAACACAAACAAACAAACAAACAAGAAGAAAGAAATATGGAGGGCAAAACTGGCTTCTGCTGAATCAGAAGCTGTCACCCTCTGGGAAACTCTATGAGAGAGTCTAATCCATGAGGGAGCCCCACCCCTTTTTCCATAGGCCTCCCAGACATACTGACTTAAAGCACACAACTACGATGAAGCACATAGTAGAGTAGCCAGAAGTACGAGCACGTCTGGCACGTCTAAAATTCTTTCTTTCTCTTTACACTTGTCTATTGTAAGTGACTGGGACCCACAGGAAATCACTTATTTAATTGCTATTGATTAATAAATCAAATATTTTTTGAGTAGTCACTACCTATCAGGCACTATGAAAGCTCTGGGGGGATATGAAGATGGTAAAACCAGTCTTGGTTTTGTATTGTTTGTTTTGTGTGGTTTTGTTTTAGCACAATGTGTAACCACAGAGATAAGACACTGGTGAAGGAACAGAAACCAGCAAACAAATATTTAAATGGAGCTGGGGTGCATCTTGTAGTAGTTCCCAAGTTGGCTGTGCAACATAGGCACCTAATTAGCTCAAAGTATCTATGGGCCCCAATGATAGAAAATCAGATTCAAATGCCAGGCGCTGGTGGCTCACACCTGTAATCCTAGCTACTCAGGAGGCTGAGATCTGAGGGTCGCGGTTCAAAGCCAGCCCGGGCAGGAGAGACCGTGAGACTCCTATCTCCAATAAACCACCAGAAAACCGGAAGTGGCGCTGTAGCTCAAGTGGTAGAGCACTCGCCTTGAGCTGAAGAGCTGAGGGACAGCGTCCAGGCCCAGAGTTCAAGCCCCACGACAGACCAGAAAAAAAAAAAGCAAAAGAAAATCAGATTCAAGTAACCTGAGATAGGGCGCAGAACTGGGTATTGGTCTCAAGGGCTAAATGCTTAGGAGACACCTGGGCACCTGGGAGTCACTGATAGTTCCATAGAAGTAACTACTACTAAAAAAAAAAAAAGAAGAAGAATACCCAGAGGAGGAAGTGATCTACCTATCCCATTCACCCCAGTCTCTGAGTTCAACAGAGTTTAACAGTTATTTAATAACTCAACAGAGTTATTTTTTAGTTCAAGTAAGTGGTAGAATTTGTGTGTGTGTGTGTGTGTGTGTGTGTGTGTGTGTGTGTGTGTCTGTGTGTGTCTGTGTGTGTCTGTCTGTCTGTCTGTCCTGGGACTTAAACTCTGGGTCTGGGTGTGATCCCTTAGCTTTTTCACTCAAAGCTGGCACTCTACCACGTGAGCCACAGCTCTACTTCTGATTTTGTTTGTTTTTGTTTTTGTTTTTGCTGGCTAATTGGAGATAAGAGTCTCTTGGACTTTTCTGATCAAGCTGGCTTCCAACAACAATCCTCAGATCTCAGTTTCCTGAGTAACTAAGGTTACAAATGTAAGCCATTGGCGCCTGGCTGGATTTTTTTTTTTTTTAAGTTAAATTTCTCAATCACATAAAGTTCTGTTGAAAACTTTTTTTAATGGTTCTAGGAATTGAATCTAGAACTGTAAGCATGCTAGTTAACTACTTCATTGTTGAATACAGCTGCAGCCCTTGTTTTTCATTTCTTTCGTTTTGTTTTGTTTTGTTTTTTGTCAGTTGTGAGGCTTGAACTCTGGGCCTGAGCACTGTCCCTCAGCTCTACAGCTCAAGGCAAGCACTCTACCACTTGAGCCACAGCACCATTTCCGGTTTTCTGGTGGGTAATTGGAGATAAGGGTCTGACAGACTTTCCTGCCCAGGCTGGCTTTGAACTGTAATCCTCAGATCTCAGCCTCCTGAGTAGCTAGGATCACAGGTGTGAGCCACCAGTGCTCGGCTTGTTTTGTTTTTAATGTAGCCCAGGCTGGCTCACACTCAAGTTCCTTCTTCCTCCACCTTCTAAGTGTTAGGATTACAGGCATATACCACAATGCCCCATGGAAAAAAAAATATTCTATGTGTGTTTGTGTGTTTTTACTCAGCTCTTTTTACTCACAACTGGCTCTATCCCTCTTGAGCCACAACTCCAGTCAGCATTTTGCTGCTTATTTTGGCAATAGAATCTTATGGTCTTTTTTCCATGCTGGCTTTGAATTGCAATCTTTGGTTCTCAGCCTCCTCGGTAGCTAGGATAACAGGCATGAGCCACTGGTGCTGAGAAAATTGTTGGATTTTGATAAATGGTCATAAAATAAAGGTCAATATAACTTTTTAAATTAAAATGTTTGTATCTCTGCAACATCTGGTTGAATTTGAGATTAGTAAGCTATAGCTTAATTATATCTGTAAACATACATAGGTTTCAGGGATCAGCATGCAACTGACTAGGCTGTTTGCAGCACTTCTGTTCCTGGTACCAAATCTGAATCAGGTACAATGTACTGAGCAATGTATAATGGAAAAACACACTCCCTTTGGCTTCAGCAATACAGAGTGAGGCAAGGCCCAATGTCTGAATGATGACCTCAAGGGCATAGGCTCTTTGCTCTGCCACCCACAGTTGGGCATGAATACTTATGGCAATGGGAATTCTAGACTTCCTCATTCCCCAGAGCCTTTCTGGCATTCATGGACAAAGGAGCCAGGCTCAGGGCTCATGCCTGTATCCTAGCTACTTGAGATATGGAGATCAAGAGGATCACAGTTCAAGGCCAGCCTGAGCATTGTAAGAAAACCTCATCTCAATCACCAGATGGATGTGGTAGTGTGTGCCTATTATCTTAGCTATGTAGGAAGTATAAATAAGTGGATCGTGGTCCAGGGTGGCCTGAGTGTACAGTCAAGACTCTAGTCAACAAATAATAAAGGCCAAAACAGCTAGGTATTTGGCTCAGGTGGTAGAATGCCTATCTAGCAAGGCAAGGGTCTGAATTCAAACCTTCACACAAGAGGCTCACCAAAAAAAAAAAAAAAGAGATGGAGAAAGAAGTGGTAGAGCGCTAGCCTTGAGCTGAAGAGCTGAGGGACAGTGCCCAGGCCCAGAGTTCAGGCCCCACGACTGACAAAAAAAAAAAAAAAAGAAAAAGGCGTTTTCCCTGAACCCTCATTTAGATGCTCCTTGAATCCCACTGACCTTTATTGGCTTAGGCATATCCATTACTCAACTAATCACTAACAAGGGTTAGGGTTGCCTGAATTGCTTCAGTTCATCATGGGACAGAGTAAGGATGTGGAGGCATCTATCACAATGCTTACTGACTAAGAAAATGGAATTTAAAAAATAAAAACAAAAGAAACCTCAGATCTGAGTGGGTGCTGGTGACTCATTCTAGCTAGTCAAGAAGCTGAGACCTGAGACTCATGGTTCAAAGCCAGCTCAGGCAGGAAAGTCTATGAAACTCTTAAATATACCACCAAAAAGCTGGAAACGGAGATGTGGCTCAAGTGCTAAAATGTCAGATAAAGGAGAGTGCCCTGACCCTGAATCAAGGCCCATACTAGCATATGCATGGACACACAGACACACAGACACACACAAACACACACACCTAAAAATCCTAAAAACTCAAACCTGTATGCTATGGCAAGTGTTGAAATGAGATCAAAAATAAATTTGAGCCAGGCACCGATGGCTCATGCCTATAATCCTAGCTACTCAGGAAGTAAGATCTGAGGATCACGGTTCAAAGCTAGCCTGGGCAGGAAAGTCCATGAAGCTCTTATCTCCAATAAACCACCAGAAAACCGAAAGTGGTACTGTGGCTCAAGTGGTAGAGTGCTAGCCCTGAGCTGAAAAGCTGAGGGACAGTACCCAAGCCCAAAATTCAAGTCCCATGACCAACAAATAATAAATAAATAAATAAATAAATAAATAAATTTGAAGCCACAGACCAGTGGCTTATGTCTATTAACCTAGCTACTTAGAAAGCTGAGATCTGAGAATTACAGTTTGAAGCCAGCCTAGAAAGGAAAGTCTGTAAGACTCTCATCTCCAATTAACTACCAAAAGGCTATAAGTGGAACAATGGCTCAAGTGGTAAAGCAATTGCCTTGAATGAAAAAGCTCAGGGACAGTCCAGACCCTGAGTTCACAGCTGAGAACTGGCACCAGATAGATAAATAGATGAGTAAATAGACATAAATTTGATTTGTGGAGCACATAAAATTTTTCTAGTGGAAATTATAGGTAGGCAATATTCTGAGATATCTGTTTATACTTTTTTCCATTCCCCTTTTTTCCACTCAAGTAGGTAGCTAACTCAATACTTTCCCTAGAGAGAGATATTTAACAGGTGGTTCTAAGAATGATAAAATGGATCAGATTATCATACAATTTTAAGGTCTAGCCATTGATGGATTTTATTTTTCTTTTTTTGCTATATTGAGGTTTGAGCTTGGGGTATCACACTTGCTAGGTGGGTACTCTACCGCTGAGCTATACCTTTAGTCTCCTACTGATAGATTTTAATCAGGGATGGGTTTCATCAGTCAGCCAAGAGAACTTATGGTGATCATTCTATGTATCAGACATGTGTATTAGTCACTTCTTGTTGATAAAACAAAATACTGAGAAAATCAGCTTGAGGGAAGAAGGATTTA